TTATACTATATATATATATATATATATATATATATATATATATATATCTTATTATAATATCATTTGCCTATACTCAATCCTCCGGGGATAATTTTCAACTCTTTACATACGATATTCGTCGATATAGATATAAGTGTTTATTTATAGCATAGTTGGAATAAAAAATTAAAAAGTATCGATTAAAAAAGATGGAGGGGAAAGAAAATCAATGGAATCAAAGAGGATCTTATCTCGGATCGATTGAATTTTCTGCAGCAACTTTCGGTGAAATCGTCGCGTAGTAAAAGTAGATTGGAATCGTGGATTTGTACAAAAAAAAAAGAAAAAAAAACGATTGCGCACGCGCTATATATATATAACGGGAGAAGAAGCGGAATCGAAGCAAAAAGTTAGAAAGAAAATTGCTTTAATTGTAAACGACGAGGTAATAATTTCGATCTTGGCGTGTCATCGATGATTGCTATTTACGCGCAAATAGTAACAACGCGACACGATGTTTACCTTCGTTAACGAGAAATTCTCCCAAAATCCTATGCATAGATTCGTCGTAAATATCGTCGTTATCAATCTGGACAAGGTCAGACAAACAAATACGCAATTCTTTGAATTCCATTGGTCTCGCTGAACGATGATGACATCATTCACGAGTTTGGATATTACACGTACCGATAATTCATCATGCACGTATTTGTACATTGATCGAAACTGAGGAGGGGGAAGGGAGGGGGGGGGTGGAAAAAGAAGAAAAAAAAAAAAAAAAAAGAATAATCGTCGAAACGAACGTAAAAACGTGTGGAATCGTGTCGCAGACGATGTCCAATATAGGAGGTCAAGTAAGAGGGATCGAGGAGATCGCGGCATGAAATTCAATTGGTTCCGCGTTTGCACAGCTTACCGCCGGCCGATGACATCACATCCAAACATGGTCACCGTGTTCCAAGGTAATTGTTCGTGTTGCATACGCGAAAGAAAATGACGCGTGCAAATTCGGGATCGCGACGAAGAAGATTGTTAAAATTAAAAGTTTTGGAAAAGCGTTGGATGCATCAGAGCGCTCGTTTCGTGCTCGAAGAGATAAACACACGATGTAAGGCTTTGGAATCGGGTCAAAGGTTGGCAAACTGGTTCGAACGAGGAGCGTGACGGATCGTGTAACTCGGATCGAAGAAAAAATCGGGATGAGATCACCCGCGAACTTGGCCAAGCGATCATTATCGCTTTGCATATACGCTTTGCCCCATTCCAGTCGATCGCAGGTGATTGCAATGCGCACACGATACACGCCGCTGACTCTTATTAACCGACCGCACGGCTCGTATGCGACATTTTCCATTCGGTCGATGCCTGTTTACTAGCCGTAGAGGTCGAAATTGTCGTCTGAGAGAGAGAGAGAGAGAGCTCGAAAACGATTATACGATCGCCTTCGCCTGCTAAACATTCGCTTACCCGTGGACGGAAATGTTTACGACTTGTCGTTAGAGTCGACGAGAGAAAACCGACGTGATATTTCGATTACGTAGAATGTTTTGTTTCGATCGATAATTGGATAACTTTCGACGAAATCGAGAACAAGTGATTGGATGTAAAAGAGGATGGATAAAGAAAAATGTAGCGAGATAGAAAATTCATCGACCAATCTTCGAACTATTTATATATATTTGTAATCTCGATTTTTGGAAAAATAAGAAAGCGATAAGATTTAACCGTGTTCCAAACTACGAAACGAAATCTTCGAACGAACAAATATTTATTCCTATTTATCTTTTCGAATTTACGAAACGAATTTCGTACTGTGGATACTACGAATGTCTGAATAATTGTCCATTTATAGATAGATTGGGAAAAGTATACGAGAAAAGCGACTGGATTCGTGGAACGACAGAGGAACGTACATGTTCGAATCCATTACTGGTGATAATTGGAACGCAAACAGGATTTATCGGTAAATACGTAAACGTATTCAACGCGTTCGCGATTGCAAAGGACGGCGCGTGACGCGATACTATAATTAGTCGCAAGGAAACGCAACAGATTCAACTGTTTTTTTTTTCTTCTTTTCGCGTTTTCTAACACTTTTGCATTATATTATCTGAAATGAAATGAAATAAAAAGGAGGAACGATTCTCGTCTTAAGTCAAGATTGCATCGAGAATTCTCTTCCCCTTAATTCCCCCGATTGTTTCCGACAATCGGGCTACGTCAAGTTTATTTTTAACGCGCGAGAACCTATGACCTTCGCCTGATTTGGAAGTGAAAGTACCTCCGAGTACCGAGCCTCTTCCGCGAGAGGTGTGTTGCTTGCCTTCGCCTATATACTTCCTTCGAAATATTCGTTTGCACAACGAATGGCCGAAAAAACAAAATTCGACGAAATTCCTTTCGTTCCAGCTCGAAAGTTCGAAGACCTTTCTCAACGATAAAGTAAAATCTTCGAGCTCATCAACTCCCACGTCGTCATTATTTCATCTTCCCCGCGATGCAAGAGTTTTACGCAAGAGGTCGATTCAATAAAACCTCCTCGAACGATCTTTCGAGCAGATCGAGGAGCACAATCGAGTTCGCCATTATCCCTTCCCCACGAATAGATTAACTAATGGCTTATCGTTACTCACCACGTCCTTACGCGTGTCCCTCGTGAATTCGCCGATGACACGCTCCTCCACCACGTCGCGGACGTCCTGCACCGAGGTGAAACCGGACGATCGATCGATCACGTAAGTGGATCGAGTCGCGTCGATATCCGTGCTATCCTTTCTCACATCGCGCTCCACTTTCGAAATTTTCGTGGTATCGCGTCCAGCCAAGGGAGAGGAGGTTGGCTCTCCTCTGTCCTCCGTCGTCGGCTCGATCTTTCCCCGATCCTGCGGTTTCTCGTACACGAACGAACCGTCCCAAGTCGAGGCGCCCGGTTTCGTCGGTCTCGAAGATCTGTCCACTGTCCTTTCAGGGCTGGTGGGGCGGCCACCCTTCTCGTCTGGTTCTCCGCGAGGTTTCTCGTCGCCGATCTCGCGAACGATCGTCGCGGAATATTTGGACGAATCGAGGATCTCGGTATCGAGCGTGGTCGAAGCGACGAATTCGGAAGTCTCCTTCGAGGCGTCCGCGACGGTGATGGATTTTTCGGTGACGTAGATCGGTTGCTCGTCGTCGTTCGCCGATCTTCCAAGATCCACCGGAACGTCCGTGGACGGTTTCTTCTTATCGTCCTCCACGGACTTCTTCTCGTGGACGAAGGAGCCGTCCCAGGTCGAGGCGCCCGGTTTCGACGGCCTCTTCTCGACATCCTTGGCGCGAGATCCTTCCTCGATCGTGACGGACTTGTGCACCGTGGACGTTGGAACGCCGTCGCGGACGATCACGGTCTCCACGGAGCTCGTCGAGTAGTCGAGGTTCGAGGAGTCGGAGTAGCTGTGGTGCACGCTCGATTGCTCCATCACGATCGAATTGCTGAAAACTTTGGACGCTCGTTCGCCGGTGTCGGCCACGTGCTTCCTCGATCTCGGCACGGGGCCGCCCTCCATCGATTCTCCTCCGCTCTCGGCCCTCCTCCTCGTCGATTTCTCCGCGACGAAGGTCCCGTCCCAGGTCGAGGAGCCAGGCTTCGCGATCCTGGCCCGATCCCTCGCCCCTCTCTCCGGTGTTTCCGGCCTGCTCGAGGAGTAATCGGCCGCGACATCGCGCACGACGACGGTCTCGTGGAGGAGCGACGAGTCCCTGACGTCGGTGAAACTATGCTGGCTGGACGAGTGCTCGACCACGTAGGAGGCCGTCGTCGAGATCTCCGCCTCGTTTATCGAGTTGTCCCCGGTCACGTCGCGGATCACGATCGTCGACTCGGTGTTCGATTTCCGAGCAGCCTCCTCCCCGACCCGCGAGGACCTAGCCGCGTCTCGACTCGATCCTCCTCGAGGAGGAGGAGGAGGAGGAGGAGGATGGCCGTCGTCCTCCTCCAAAATAGCGTCGGACACGGAGCTCGCCTTTTCCACCGTCTTCCTCCTCTCGTCCGCCGTGGCCGCCGCGTATTCCACGATGTACGAGGAGGAGACCGACTCGGTGGACAGACGGGACACGTTCCGCTCCTCGCTCACGTCCTCCACGTCCACGTCCGAGTCCCGCCGTTTCTCGCCCCTTCTCACCACCGTCCTCTCGCCCCCGTTCCAGCTCGACTCCTCCAGATTCCTCGAGGAATCCTCGCCCTCCACCCTCCACGACCTCTTCTCGCACGAGCTCGCGCTCTCGTACCTTCGAACTCTCGCCTCCGTCGTGGCGGAGTCGAACACGTTCCTCTTCCTCGGCTCGGGCGTCTTCTTCTCGATCACGAACGTGCCGTCCCACGCGGACTCGCCCGGCCTCGAGCGTCGAGGGCTCTTCCTGGGATGCGCGAGATCGGTCGCGTCCACGATCCTCGAGTCGCGCATCACGAACGAGGAGGAGGAGGAGGTCTCTGCGGAGATTTCAACGCTCGCTGCGTTTCGAGCCTCGGAGACGAGGCGATGCTCCGTTTTATCGAGGGGAGACGGACTCTCGCTGACGAACGTGCCGTCCCACGCGGATTGCCCAGGCTTGTTGCACCGCGTCGCCACCTCGCTGATTTTCTTCCTCTCTCCGGTTTCCTCGCCGCGAGAGGAGGCCCTCTTCCCGCCACCCCGCCTGTCGCCCGTCAATTTGACTGCTCGAGGCGCGGCCTCCTCGACCTCCACGCTTCGACTCCGTGACCTGCCCACCTTTCCTCCGTCGTCGACCAACTTTTCGTCCGTCTCGTGAATTCTCGTTCTGTTCGTGCGCTGTCCGTCCCTGGTCGTCTCCTCGTAGACCTCCTCGCTGCTCGCCTCCCTGCTCTCGTACGACGACGTGGCACCGTTCGTGATCGCGGTCGATCTTCGATCCTGCTCGACGATCGACGAGCATTTCTCCACGAGGGACTCGCTCCTCCTGCTCTCCTCCACCTCGCTCGAGGACTCCCCTGACGATTTGACGACGCTCGAGCGAGTCCCGGATCGCTCCTTCGCGATAAAGTCTCGACAGGTTTTGGCCGCGTTGCGGGGAGGGCGGCTCGTCTCGACAACGTTACCCTTCGAATCCGTGATCACCTCGAACACGCTGCTCCTCGACTCGCTCTCCACGATCTGCCTCGCCTCCTCGACCACTCGCCTCGTAGACACAACCTCCACCGTCTCCACCACGTCGGAGGAACTCGCCGCGACTTCCTTCCCCCTCAGCCCCCCGCCCCCCTTGCGTATAGTCATTCCGCGGGACAGACTTCCTATTTCCGCTCCACCCGCCGATCTCTCATGCGAGATAAATCGCGGAAACCGTGCACGCGAGCCGCGCGCTGTCAACTGTAAACTTGGGTCTCTGTCGCGACAGTTGGAGCTGGACTGAAGCGACCGGCCTCGTTCGCAAACTCTCTCCTCGTCTTTCTTACACTCTCGTGTCTCTTTCTCTCGCGCTTTGAGTTGCTGTCTCTCTCTCTCTCTCTCTCTCTCTGTTTCTACGTCTCTGGCGTTGTCGAATACGCGTGTTCCCTCGGAGATGTTAATTATCGTGGATCGGGTTGCGATGTTCTCGGTTCGATGCCGCGAGTCGATGTGGCATCGGCGATGCCTCGCTGGCCCTAGTGACCACACGGTGCACCGTTCTTCTCCGTCACTACCATTGCCACCGCGTAGCACGGCTCTTTTGCCTGGAGAACCCGATCCGCTCTCTCTCTCTCTCTGCCTACTTTTCCTCTCTCTCGCTCGTGTGTCGCCCGGCGTGGGATGTTATTCGCCGCGTACGCGCCTCGCGCGTGTGCTAGTGCACGCACACACCACTCTCTCAGCCTCGATTCTTGTTGCGCGCGCGAGAGAGAAGAGAGATAGCGCTCTCTCCTTCCGAGAGCCGTCCTCGCCCCCCTCTCCTCCCCGATCCTCTTTAAGGACACGATTTTATCTCCGATCGTTCGTCCTTTTCCCTCCCTTTCGCGTTTACGCTCTCCACTCTGTTCGCCTCGCCTCGTTTCGTGCCTTTTCGTTCGCGACATTGCTCGCGGGTGCAACGAAACGCGTGTAAATTAAAAAATGTACGTGTGTAGGTCGAGGAAGATAGGATAGATTCGAGGTGTTGGTCGTATATATTATAGTATCGAAGATTGATCCTCTCCAAATATTTCGAGTTCAAAATATTTACAGTTTTTAAGCCCGAGTGATTTTAGAATGTACGGTGAAAAGAAGGGATCTAATGCGGATCGCACTGTACATCGAGGATATATATAGTAAAGTACAATGCGTCTCGCCTGTCTCGTTACATCGTTCCATCCTCGAATTATTAAGCTTCAACTTTGCCCGATCGCGGCGCTAATTCCTGTTCCCATCGGGGCTAACTTTAGCCGAGTATAATGTACGAGAGAGAGAGAGAGAGAGAGAGAGAGAGAGAGAGA